CAGAAAGGATGAATTGGAGCTTGTTCAGGAACTATCCAATCCCAGGGCACTGCCTGTCCCTTTCTCTGCTCCCCTTCCTCATCTTCACTTTGCTACGTTTTTTTAAACAGCTCTTACATATGATTGGCTTAATTTTTTTCCCCGTTGCAAATGCGCTTTATATACCTGATGAAAAGAATAGCCATTTGGTTGAAGGTTAGACCATTTTGTACTCATATTTTCATTTGTGTTCCAGAGATGGCCTAATTTAGATCAAATGCCCACCTTTGCCCAGTAACTGGGATCAGAGGGTAGAGATATGAGGTTCTGTCTTGCATACCAGCTTGGCCTGTGGAGCTTACTTCTATGAACATGCCTTCTCTTCTTGAGCTAATGATTTGTATATTATTATTTGCTGTATATAAATAAGATACTCCAGTGATTTCCTAGAACACATGGTTATAACCATCAACCAAGAGCATTTCTAAACCAAAAAATTTATATCAAAAGAAGTTATATGTTTATTTTTTAAACAAGTTCATGAAAAGTATGTCTTAAAGAAAAAAGTTTTATTCCAATTCAAATGGTGATGTTACATAACGTGGAAATATTAGATATTTGCACTGTCTGCATGTAAAGTACTCTGTGCTGCCATCTAAAGGTGTAAGCACCAGAAGGTATAACTTTATTTTTAATTAACTTTATTGGTACATTTTAGGTATACCGTATGATCGTATTCATCATTGGGAATTTGTACTTGTATGTGGTATATCTTAGTTTTTGTTTCTTTCCATCCCTCCCTTCCATCCCTACACCCCTCCCTATTTGCAAAAGCTGTTTCCATTTTTCCTTCTTTTCTCATATTTTTTTTCTTTTCCCTTTATTTTTCCCTTCCCCTTTGAACCTTTCCTTCCTTTTTCACATTATCTGTTATACATTTTGGCCCTCATTTACACTTCTCACACCAAAGTTTCTCACACCAAAGACAATTCAGTATTTACACGTGTGTCCTATTTATTTCATTTAAGAGTGTGGCTTTATTAATCAATACCTGAGGACAGATTTTTCTTTAAAAATTCATTTTTGTAATGGTACATAAGATCCTAATGATATAAGTGACAATGTGAAATAGGAAGAAAAGGGCTAAAGATGTACGGGACATGGGAAGGGTAGGGGAAAGGTAATAAAGGAAGAGAAAAAAAAATATGAGAAAATGAAAAAATTGAAATAAAGTATTTGTAAATAGGGAAGGGAGGAGGGGGTGAAGAGAGGGCAGGGATAAGGGGAAAAAATGAGAACCAAGACCTGTCACGAAAAGGTACAAGCTCCCAATGATGAATGTAACTGTACTGTATACCTAGAATGTACCAATAAGCTCAATGAGAAAAAAATTCATTTTTGTACTAAAAATTTAATGTAATAACCAAACAAAAGATACAAAAGAAATTTACTATAAAACATCTACAAAGGATTCTTATAAAACTCTAAAACACCAGCAATAAAATAAAAATAAGACTGCTTCACAATTTAGAAGCTTTATCTAAAGATACTTTCTGGAAATTGAAAAGATGGCCCGCAAAATGGGAGAAAATATTTGGAAATTGTATGTCTTGTATGAATCTACTATCCAGAATATATGAGGGACCTCTTACAACTTCACAGCAAAAGACAACCCAATTAAGACATAAATCATGGGCTTGTATAAATGTTTCTCCAAGGAAAATATATAAATGGCAATGAGCACATGACACGATGCCAATATCATTAGTCATTAGAGAAATGCAAGTCAGTAAAGACGTGGAAGACCCTAGTTTGCACTTACAGTATTGCTGCTTGATTATTTGATTTTTACATCAGACCTTTATAACATAAACTTTTGTACAGAATTGTGAGTTCTGACCGTGTAACATGAGAGGTTTTGCTAGGGCATATTTTTTAAAATTTAATTTTTAGGGCCTATTATTTTTAACCATCATTAATTAGTTGAGGTGGAGTTTACTGTGAAATTTTCACATTTGAATTTTTTAATTGCCTGGCAAAAGCTGATATAGGTTCTAAAATACCAGCAGAATGATTTGTTGAGTTCATTACAAGCCCATTATGTCACATTTTGATTACAATAAAAGTTTTCAGGGCTGGGGATTTAGCTTAGTGGTCTGCCACCTGCCTTGCAAGCACAAGTTCCCAAGTTCGATCCCTGGTAACCAAAAAAAAAGTTTTCAATAAACTTTTCCCCCAAAAATGAAAAAGAAATGCTAATCAAAGCCACTATGAGATACCATGTTCCACTTGCTAGAATGGCTTTCGTAATGTTTTTAAAAACACATCAAAAACAAAATAATGGGCCAGGGATTTAGCTCAATGTTTCCACCACATGCTTCACAAGTGGAAAGCCCTGAGTTCAATCCCTGGTACCAAAAAAAAACATCAAATGTTGGCAAGGATGTGGAGAGATTAGAATCCTCATGTATTGCTGATGTTGGGCTACAGATACTGTGGGAGAGTCCAACAGTTCTTCAAATGGTTAAACCAGAATTACTGAATGAGCTGGGTATAATGCTGCATGTCTGTAATCCCAGCTCTGTGCGGCTGAAGCAGAAAGACTGCAAGCTGAGGGCTAGCCTTGGCAACTTAGTAATTTAGCAAGACTGTTTAAAAAACTTAAAATAATGGCTGAGGTTGTAGCTCAGTGTGAAGGCCCTATGTTCAATCCCTAGTGTAGCCATTCCTACTAATGTTCCCAAGAGAAATAAAACATGTCAAAGTTAAAGGTAGAAGCAAATCTAAAACAGAACAAGTTGTATTTTGTAGTAATAAAAAAATGGAATTGTAATCCGGGATATATGTACAGTCCAGGATGACATCCAGTATGTCTGGAAAACAAAGGAAGGATTGGTGACTTTATTAGGATAGAGAAATTTCTTTGAGTCATTATGAAAACAAGTTTATTGGTGCTTTCAGTGCTTGAGGGAGCTGGCAAGCTCTGACTGGTGAGCAGCAGCAGTTGATAAGTAAAGCTAGTCTTCAGATCATGTGTGGCAGTTCTGTTAGTTGCTAAGAAGAAAAAATGTCATTAAAAGATAAGAAAATCTGTTCTACTATATTGGCCTAGGAGGGAAGTTCCTGGAACAATAATTTGAAACTGTTTTTCTTCCCTTGACCTCTTGGCTGTATTTTAGAGTATTTTTTGTTTGTTTGTTTGTTTGAGACAAGGTCTCACCATGTCAAAATCTTTTATTGTTGGGCATGGTGGCACACACCTGTAATCCCAGCACTCAGGAAGCTGAGGCAGGAGGATCGCTGTGAGTTTGAGACCAGCCTGGGCTAATATTGCTTTCCAGGTCAGTCTCAACTACATAGTGAGACCCTGTCTCAAAAAACCGCCCACCCCCAAAAAAAGAAAGAAAGAAAGTCTATTTATTTGTATGCTCAGTTTCCACACAGGAATTCAAACAAAACCTTGTACGTGAATGTTCATAGCAGCATTATTCATAATAGCTAGAACATGGGAAAGGAACAGGTTTCTGTCAATTAATGAATAGATAGTATATCCATACAGTGGGATATTATTTATCTGTAAAAAGGAATGTACTATTACATTGGTGTAACTTGAAAACATACTAACAGAAGACAGACACAGCCAGGCATGGTGGCACACCTGTAATCTTAGCACTTGGGAGGCCGACACAGGAGGGTTGCTGCAAGTTCAAGGTCAGCCTGGGCTACACAGTAAGTTCAAGACCAGCCTGAACTACACAGCAAGACTGTTGTACACTATTTGCTAGGGCTGCCAGGAGCAGTGTCACATACCTGTAATCCTAGCCACCCAAAAGGCTGAGGAGGAAGAATTAGAAGTTCAAAACAAACCTGGGCGACTTAGACACTGTCTCAAAATTTTTAAGACACCATCTTAAAAAGGAATAGGGATGTAGCTCAGAGTAGAGCATCTGCTTAGAATGGGTAAGGCCAGAGGTTTGATCCTGAGTACTGAAAAAATATATATAATGATTGTTACATTGAGTGCATTTTATCTTATTTTTAAGAAGACCTCCATTGACTGGCAAGACTCCAGAACCTTGTTCATTATTATTATAGATATGTTTTCCATAATTGTTGTATATATGTATTCTATTTGCTTTTTAATATTATTTGATACATACTTTTCATCTATACAGTTTCTACAGTTCTTAATTTAATGCCTGCTTATATTTTCATGTCTATATACAAATGTTCAATATTCTCTTAATTTTTTTCAATTTCAAAAAGCCCTGCTATAAATGCTTAAACAAATAATGTTTAAAATCCTCTGTTGATGCTGTATTGGTTTTTCTTACCCAAAACAGAACCTCTGAATTTTTTTTTTAATATTTCTATTGTATTTTTTTCTCTGACTTTCTTTTTTTTTTTTTTTTTTTTTTTTTTGAGTCAAGGTCTCACCATGTAGTTCAGACCAGCCTTGAACTCACTATGTAGCCAAGCCTGGCCCTGAACTCACACTGGTTCTCCTGTGTCAGCCTCCCAAGTGCTAAGATTATAGTTATGTGCTACTGCATCTGACTCTCTGACTTTTCTTTGGTAGATATATACTAAATTATAATTCTACCAATAACATATAAGGAAAAATTGAGGAGATTAATGTTTATTCAATGTCTACCCTGTTCCAGGCTCTGTGCCTAGATTCTTTATATTATTTCATTTTGCTGCTGTATCTCCTCTCTCCTGAAATGTCTACAGAAGCTATCACACAAAGGAGCAACTATCAGAACGCAAGAGTTTTTTTCTCCATGGTACATGCTGTTTTTCTTTCAGCTTTAGCAATGCTGTGTTTTACTTTTTCTAAGTTGCTATTTATTAGAGAGATTCTGCATTTCCCAAGTGATTAACTATTTGTATTTCGTCATACATACCGATCTGTACTTTTGTTCATTTATTAATAGATTTTAAGCTAAACATTCTTATTTTCCTTGTAGACTGACATTATGTGTCATAATTTTTTTGCTTTTGTTTACTCCTCTCTTCAGGCTCTTGATGGAAATGTGTATGATCACCTCAAGGATTATTTGATAGCCTTCAGCCGGACTGAGCTAGAAACATGCCAAGCTGTGCAGAACACATTCCAGTTTTTATTAGAAAATTCCAGCAAGGTAAGGTACTGTTAGTGCAAAGGGTAGTATTAATACCCAGCACTCTGGTACTTTATATGTTCGAATCTAAAGTGTTTTGCATACAAACAAAATGAAAGTACCAGTGATATTAAAATAATGACTTAAAGGACACATTTCTAGGAAAAGTATCCTTTTAACAAAGTTGTGGTATGTTCTCATGGATGAATTAATGCCATTGGTACCACAACCAAAGGCAGAAAGGTAGGTGAGAGCCAGGCTAGCTCAGAACATCAGCCCATTGCCCCATGCACTGCAATTGAGAAAAATGGTTTAAACACTTAAGTCTTGCACTGAAATGAATTTTGGTTTTGGTTTTGGTTTTTTCCTCATTGAATTTATTGGTACATTTAGGTATATAGTACAGTTATATTCATCATTGGGATTCTGTACCCTTATATGACAGGTCTTGGTTCTCATTTTTTACCCTTGTCCCTGTGAAATGAATTTTGAATATATTCATCTCAGACATTTACAGGAACAACGAGGTCATGTCTCAGTGCAAAGATAATAAAAGGGCACAATGGAGAAATTAGCATTTAATACTTTTGATTAAAATGAGTACTATTGTATCTTATATTTACAAATTAAACCATACTTTCTATGTCATCATTCTTTGAGCTTTCATTTTAAAATGTTGATATGTTAGTTTTGCTAATGTGTTACTCTGTATGTTGAGAAATAAATGTGATTACTTTTCCCTAGGATCTTATTATAACTTTTGAGGTTAAAAAAAGATTGTATTTTTGGCAGAAGTTTCACATTAGAAACTATCCTTCAGAAGATAAATTATACCTGTGATTAGTACATGTTACTTTCTTTCTGATAAATGCATAGTATTTCCTGACCAAATAAATGCATTTTCTAACTGACACTTTAAAAGATCTAATTCAGTACTCTTTTGTGGCAGAGAAAGTAGGAACTGGCTGATACCTTTCGAAACTGGATAGGCACCAGGGTATCCATCTTCACAAGATAGTGTCCAAAGACAGATGGAAAAAGGGGCACAGAAACTATCTTAAATATATATATTCTTATTTTCAGTGTACCAAAGCACCCAATTCTACTTTAAACATTTAAAAAATGCTAAGCTGATACGGAAATACAAACATTACTTATTAGCCTGGCACTTGAAGGTCTTGTCATATTATCTATTATCCTATATTTTTACCCTTCAGAATCCAATAAAAGATATAAAAGGACTGATGTATAGGAAGAAATGTGCATGGATAAATGGGTAATAAGTTTTGAGAAAGAATATGAAGTAAGATGTTAATTGTAGAATTATAGTAATGGGTATGTAGTATTTACAGTTCTTTTTGCATTAGTGTATTTTATTTGAAGATTTTCATGGAACAGTCTTGAAAACAAGTCTATAAAAGTATTGTGGCTTTGTTCCTTTTGTAGAAGAGTTGATTTTTGACCACTGATCAATTTTTTGTTTGTTGGTTGGTTGGTTGGATGGTCTGTTCAGGTTTTCTATTTCTTTTTCAGTGCATTTTATAGCATACATTTTTCTAGACAGTTGTCTATTTTAATGGTTATCCAGTTGGATGACATAGGATTTTTCATAAGATTGTTTACCTCTAGTTATTTCTCTTTTTATTCCTAATGTTGTTTGTGCTTTTTTTCTTATTCTGATCACCCATACCATTCTATTTTGTTTATCTTTGCCAGAGATGGCTTTCATTTTTCTCGGTGTTGTTTGGTCCTTTAATTTTGCCTTATTTCTTTCTACATTCTTAAAATGTATATTCTTGTTCTTTCTCAAGCTTATGTTTATATTTAAGTTTTACATTTTCAGTCTTTCTGTTTTCAAGTAAAGCCATTTAAGGCTAAAAAGTTTCTTTCTACTTTAACTACCATCTGTGAAACACAGGACTTCCATTGTTATTTCTACACATACACTGTCCCATTATTCCCTGAATTATTTAGAAATGAGTTTTGCAGTTTGTATTTAGTGGGAGTATATGGTAAGATTACATTTTTCATTCCTAATTGTATGAGAATCTATTTTTAATTTTTATTCTATTACATTCTAATTTTATGAGAGGTTATCCCCTGGCGGAATTCTTTGAAATTCCTTTTCCAAGAAATAATTAGATTGGCTGTACTACCCTTAGTTTACAAAAATACAGTCATAAAATACAACTAGTGTTGTAGGCATGCTTAATTTTCTAAGATTTTTTAGCACATCTGAAACTTGAATTCCATGAGGTTCATAGGGGAACAATGGAGTCAGAAAGTTTGTGTGACTTGTCCAAGGTCACACATTGACCCATAGTATTTTTCATGCTATTCTACTGTAGTATGTTATATTATCTCTTTAGCTTACATTATCTTAATTGAAAATGAATTAAGAATTTATGAACTGTTTGGGACACCCAAAGAGATAATCATTCATTCATATGAGCATCTTGCTCCCCAGAGATGTAGAATAAGTGAGATGCTCTTATGTCTAGATTGAAAGTGGTAGGAATAAAAATTTAATAACAATGATGTATCTGGCAGATATCCTGTGTTCTTTTGTTCTAAGTGAGAAGAGCTCATACCTACAAGTTTTATGCCATGTGCTTTTTTTGTTACAAAGAACTTGTTATCCTGCTCCTGTTATACTGCTGAAAGCAACTGAGTGATTTGCTAACCCAAGGGGAAGTATGAAATGCTTTAGGTTTTTTATTCTGCACCATTATTGCTTTTTCTTCTGGGATAAAAATCTATTTTTCCCACATGTCCAAAATATAACCTAATCCCAAAGATGTTTTAGAAGTAATTCATACTGACACAGCTTGCTACAAATGTAAAGATGCTCTGTATATCTTTCATACCCTAAATGGAAACAGCTGGCTCTGAGAGCTTTTATTAAATTTTAATTATTTATGAAGCTTGCTTTTCTCCTTAATATTTTATGAAATGCTTTGTATATGTAACTGAAGCAGATGTTGTCATAGATATTTTCTCTAGGATAGTACCTCCTAAGATAGATAGCTCTATTGGACTTATAGTTCATGTGTGCTTGCTTTCTGTCTGCATAAAGAAACTCCTACCAAATAATAACATAGTTCTTTGAGCACTTCATAAAATAACAATGTTATTCTCTGTTTCTTTGAAAATGAAATTGTCAGTGTTACCATTCTTCATACTTTGCAGACTAACCAAAAAAAAAAAAAGTAAATTTAATAAAGTGGGAAAATCATAGTCACTTCAATAGACACAGGAAAACAAAACTTGACAAAAGTCAGCACCCTTTTGTAATTTAAACACACAGAGGAAAAAACTAGGAATAGAAGGGACATCACTGAATATGATAGTATTTGTGAAAACTTTTAGCTAACATAATATTCAGTGATGAAAGACTAAGTATCTCCCTAGAAGATCAAGAACAAGACTAGGATACATATTTCACTACTACCATTCACTTTTGTACTGAAAATCTTAACCACAGCAATTATGTAAGAAAAAGAATTAAAATTATTCCTGCTTCCAGTGACATGATTATGTATAGAAAATCCCATACAATAATCAACATAAAATTTACTAGAGCTGATAAAGTAATTCAGTAAATTTACAGATACAAAGGCAAAACTGTAATAACCAGTTGTGTTTTTATTCTCTACAAATGAATAATCCAACTAAGAAAATAATTCCAACTACAGTGGTATCCAAAGAATAAAGTTCTTAGAAATCAATTTTTGTTGATGCTGTTTTGTTGTTGTAGGGTCTCACTATGTAGTCCAGGCTGGCCTTGAACTCACTGTGTACCCAAATTGAACCTGTGATTCTCTTGCCTCATCTTCCTGAGTGCTTAGATTACAGATGTGCACCACCACACCTAGTGAATAATTTAACCAAAGATGTGAAAGACTTATATACTAAAAAATACAAACTACTACAGAAAGAGAACCTTAAATAAATGAAAATAAATGTTCATGGATTGGACTATTTCATATTGCTTATTTTGTGTATCCTCCAACATGATCTACAAAAGTAGTGCCTATCAAAATTCCAATGGCCTATTTTTATAGAAATAGAAAAGCCAGTCCTTAAATTTAAATGGAATTTGAAGGAGCTCTGAATAGCCAAAGAAATACTGAAAAGGAAAAACAAAATTCAGGGATTCAACTTCCAAATTTCAGAAATTACTATGAAGTTACAGTAATCAGGATAGTATGGGGTGGGCATAAGGATAGACATAAACACCAGTGAAAGAAAATTGAGAATCTAGAAATAAACTGAAGCATCTGTAAACAATTAATTTTCAACAGGGGTGTCATGACCACTAGGAAAAGAATAATTTATTTAACAAAATGTTCTGGAATAAGTGAAGAACCAAATGCAAAAGAATGAAATTGCAGTAAATTGAACCCCTTGCCTCATTAAAAATTAACTCAAAATGAGTCACTGATCTAACTATAAAAGAAAACAGCCTTTATTATCTTAGACTTGGCAGTATATTCTTAGATTTGACATCAAAAGCATTGAGCTACCAAAGAAAAATAATTGTATTTTTTTAAAAAAAAACTTTTTTTTTGAGACAAGGTCTCACAATGTAATTCAGGCTGGCTTTGAATTCACTGTGTAGCCCAGGTCAGCCTCAAACTGATGGCAATCTCCTGGCTCAGCCTCTCAAGTGCTGGAATTACAGGCATGCATCACCATATCTTGACTCAATTAAAAACTTCTATTCATTGAAGGATGTTGACAAGAATGAAAAAAAAATCCAAAATATGTGATAAAATATTTGTACATCTTATATTTGCATTTATCTGATAAGGATTTAATATCAAAAACATAATGAACTCTTCCAATGCCATAACCCAGTTTTCAAATGGGCCAAAGATCTATATTTCTCTGAAAAGATATACAAATTGTCAACAAGCACATGAAAAACTGTTCAGCAGACATTGGTCTTCGATTAAGGAAATGTGAATTAAAGCCACAGTGAGATAGCACTTCTCACCCACTAAGATAGCTTGAGTAAT